CCCAAATCCCCACCGCTCCCCCTTGATCCGCGCCACGCCTTTACCCGCTCACATTGGCACCCCCAAAACCCGAGCCCCCCACCCTCAAAACCGCAACACCCTCTCACACCCAGGTGACCAGTTCTCTGAGGAGTTCAAAAAGATCAACCCAAACAGCAAGATCCCCGCAATAGTTGACCCAGACGGGCCGGGTGGGTGCTTCCTTGGTTTTGCCGCTTGGCCCGTGCCCTCGTCTCCGTCCCTGCCCCCGCCTTCGTCTCTGCCCCTGTCTTCTGCACTTGCCTCTATCCCTGTTCTTGCCCCTGTCTCGCGGGCGGCTGCCTGCTGGCTGGTGTTGACGCCCAGCGAGGGTTGCGCAAAGGGCGAAGCGGTGTGTGTGCGGGCCACTTGCTCCCTCAGACCCTGACAGGCCTGTAATTGGCGCCGCCGCCTAGTGTCAAGCGCGCCTCTGCCGCCCTGTTTGTCTGCATTCTTTGTGTATGCGCATTTGGAAGATCCCTGCAAATCCCAATTTGATTTGGTGCCACTCTTCAAACAACAACAATGATGCAGGCGGCAAGCCCCTGGCTGTGTTCGAGTCTGGCGCCATCCTGCTGTACCTGTCTGAAAAGGCGGGAGGGAAGCTTCTGCCCTCGGACCCCGCCCTCAAGTGGGAGGCGCTGAGCTGGCTGTTCTGGCAGATCGGCGGGTGAGCCGCTGCCTGACTGTTGTTCTTACCACTTTGACAGCAGGGCTGCGCGCGGCGCGTGCTGCCGCAACAGCCGGGGCGGCGAGCCGCAAGGCTCCCTGCCTTGCTCTGCCGGGCAGGGCTGTTCTTGGGCCTAATTCCATGATCATGCACCCTGGTTGCTGGCAATTGTTGCAACCGATTGGTTGGCAGCAAACGCGCTGGCCGAGTCGGGTTGTTTTTGTTTGTTTAAGGCAGCACGCGCGGCACGCTCGGACGAGCGGGGGCTGCCGCTGCAAGCAGCTGCTTGTCGTGCGTGGCGAACTCCGCTCATCCAGCACACCAATTTTCCCCACCGCCCCAGTGCGACTCCCATCGATCGCAGCGCATTGCATCCACCCCGTTGCACCATCGATCCCTGCCCTGTCCCTCAGGGTCGGCCGGCCCCATGTTTGCGCAACCACTTTCACAAGTGAGCCTGTTGGTCAACGCAACAGGGTGTTTTCAGGATGCTGATGCGGGGTCAAACCTATGTTTGACCAGCGTGTGCACGAGGGTACAAACGAGCAGAGACGGCCGTGTATGCTATGATGGAGCGCTCGTCCCGCCAGACTGGGAGGGCGCAGCAGGGCGCGACAGCTCGGCGCTGGAGCCACGCACGCCGCAGCCGGGCCTGCGTGGGGATGCGAGGCATCAGGCGTCCGAACGAACGAACCCTGAGTTGCAGGCTGCTGCCAGCCCTCTGCAGGCTGTGCCGACCGCAGCCCCGCGCCCCTGGCGCACAGGCGGAAGCCTCTCGCTTTCAAGGCAGTGCTCGATCTCTCAGCCGGGCCGGCCGATCATGTCATGGTTTGATTCATTTGATGATTCGATCATTCGATGATACAAGCGATCCTATCACCTGCCAAAACCCACACTAGGTATGCCCCTGAGAAGATTGAGTATGGCATCAACTGCTACAAGGCAGAGGTGGGCGGCGGCAGGGCCAGATCTCTCAATCTGGAGCGATCTCAGCGAGCGATCTGGCACGATCTGATCTGGTCCAGCCGCGCCGACCTCGAGCAGGGCGTGTGTCGACAGCCCTGTCGAGACCACGACACCCGCAAGGATAGCAAAGGCGGTTGCCGTGCATGCAATGTGTCGGCATGCAATGCGCCGCTCGGCGTGCGGTGTCGCCGCCTGCGGAGGGCGCGACATCGCTTTGTTCGTTGCGGCATGCTGCCCCTCTCAGCCACCCCGGTCGCACCGACCCTCTCCTTGCGTCCTGCGCGTGCGAGTGCGGCCTCGTCGCCGATGATGTCACCCTGACGTCATCACCCTGGCATCACCCAACCCGCAGGTGAAGCGTCTGCTGGCGGTGCTGGAGGAGCAGCTGGAGGGGCGGGATTACATAATTTGGTCAGAGTACACCCTGGCTGACGTGGCCACCTTCCGATGGTGGGTGGGCGCGTGTGTGTGTGTGTGTGTGTGTGCGGGGGGGGGGGATTTGGAATTTTAAATGTCCGTTTCCTTTGCCGTATTGTTGCTCGTGCTGGTAAATGACAAGGACCTGTTGCGTGTTGCCGCGTGCGAGCCGGGCACGTCCCGCCTTGCCTGCGAGGCGAGCTGCCGCGCGGCTGCGGTTCGCACACGACCCCTTACAATTGGAGCGCCAATGCACTCGCTCGCTCACGCCGCCACCGGCCCTGGTTCTGGCGCCGCGGGCTTCCCCTTCTACTTGCCGCCTCGCTCCCTGCGGCCGGCGCGCGTGTGCGCCGCTTGGGGCGCCGCCAGGCGCGTCCCCCGCGAGCGCCTGCTGCCATCGATACCGTTGCAGGGCGGCCCTGCCCCCCCTTCCCCTCGCCCGCCGCCCCGCGCCTCGCAATCCAGCACTCTCCTACAACGGCCCGGCGCGTTCAATCCGCCTCCCCAGCGCCGCAGGGTGCGTTGCCTGGACACGGGCTGCAATGCTGCGAGATGCGATCAGCCGGCTGGCCGCGGCGGCGCGGGGCCTGGAGGCGCGCAACCGGGTGCTGGAGGGGCGCGCGGAGGAGGGGCGCGCGGCGGCCGCGGCGGCGGCGCGGGGCTGCGCCGCGCTTGGGCGACGAGGTGGCGCGGCTGCGGGG